ATCTATGCTGATGATATGCATCTTATAGCACACTAGCTCACACTGAGCAATAGAAGCAAAAATCTGTTCATGAAAAATACTTCAGGACTTGTTTGTGATAATTATGATAAATCAGCCAGATTAGTTTCTCAGAATTCATTTTTTTTGTACCTTCCTTTCATTCCATCTCCAGCCTTGACCATGAGACTTCCTTTGGACATTTACTTTCTTGTTAGTAAATGTGATGCAAGCATAAGCTTGAGAGTGCACTCTGGAGTTCCTTTCCTCTCTTAGCCCTCTGCTAGTGCCAGGAGGTCGAGCCCCAGCTAGCCTGCTGGAGGCTGAGGGAGCACATGGAGGAGCCCCAGTCATGGTAGCCAAGATTATCACTGCCAGCCCTCAGTCAACTGCCAGCTGACTTCAAAAATAGGCACAAACCCAGCAGAAGTGTCCTGTACTAGCAGAACCACGCAGCCAACTTCAGATTTGTGAAAAACTGAGAAAGTCATATTATTTTAACCACTACATTTCAGAGTGTTTCTTACAAGGAATTTCCAAATGATGCCATACGAAAAACATACCTAATTATGCACAAGCATGCATTCTGGATAAAATTGGGTGGTATCCATTGTGCGAGACACCATTTCTCACAGAGGTGATGGGTTCTAAAAAGGATAGTCACCTCACCTTTCTTTTGCTGCGTGGAGGAAGAGATTTTCTTTCAACTCATGTGTTAGATATAGTCTCAGCACTGTTTAACTGGATCTCTATATTAGAGCCTTTTAATTACTTTTTTAAATCACTTGTGAGTTTAGGATTAGGGTCATATTTTATTTATTTTCAAAGTTTGTGTACAAAAAAATATTAATCATACCTAATTAGGATCATTATTTTGTCATTGTCTAATAACTGTTAGACTATCCAAAGTAGAAGTCAAAGTAACTACCTTGGAAATCCTTTAAAGGCTAATGAAAACACTAGAGGTTCATAAAGATGTCATGTGTGCTACCTGGATTTGGGTCTTCATTGGATAAATAAAGTAAGTCATTTAATGAGGAATGAATATCCTATGATTTTCACATTTCTAACAGTTTTGATTTTGACTGCAGATGATCTGATTCCAAATAGGTTATTTTCAGTGGTGTTTGAATATCTTTGGGGGACTTGCCTGCACTAGGAACCAAACCAATCATCAGAAGAGTACTCTGACATGCTTTAGATGTTGATTTCATTTGGGAACTGCAAAGCTGTTCTTGAATTCAAGGGTTCCACAGGACAGCTTTCAGTGTTGTACTAGTAAAACCAGAATATCCAAAAAAATGCAGACCCACTATACAAGGTTTCCAGTGTTTCTTTGTCATAAAGAAAATACTAGCAAAAAGTCCACTCATTAAAAAGTCTTCTTTTCAATTTAGAAAGCATGCTTAAGATATAGTAGAGTGTTCCTCTTTGTCATTAAACACATACTTTCTGTTAATATGCTACAATTAATCTCTCTCCCTGCCCCTCCCCCCTTCCCTTTTTATACAATTTTCCTTTCTTAGGGTGAGATGAGGGAAAGAATGAAGGTTTATATTTAAATAAACAGACTCCAGTGGTTTCCTGAGTCTGTCACACATTAGCTGTCTATACTATAACACTTTATTTGTCTTAATTAATAACATCGCATTCATATGAATACTGAGTTAAATGCATTTCTTTTGGATATCTTTTTTTTTAAAAAAGCTCAGCTTTGGAAATCTCCTTCCCTTGGGAGGTTTTTTTTTTTTTTTTTTTTTTTTGGAATCCTGTTGAAGAAATTTGAAATTTCATCAACAAAGCATAGTCATCAAGATAACTGTCTCAGGTGCTCCCTCATGGCAAAGATGACCCAGGAGAGATACAATCATCTCGGTGTGCTTTATATGATTCATATGCAATTCAACCCTTTTGGAGTTTTGAGTTCTTAACGAAATACCACTTCCTGTTTTTGAAGGGAAAAATGGCATAAAAAGTCATATAAAAAGACTCATAAGGCCCTTGGACATCAAATAACTCTTACAAAACAACATTTTAATGAATTAAGTGTAAATGAATCAGAAACATGTGGCTTGAATTTCCCTTGAAATACCCATGGGCTTAAAAATTAAGGAAAAAAAAAAGAAAAGAAAAAAAAAAGAATTACTTGGCGAAAACGTGTGTGCATTTTATTGAGCTGAAGCCTTTGGAGGAAAAAAAAAAGAAAAAGAAACCATCCTTGATTTGGTTGACTGAATTAAAAAAACACTGCTGTTGCTTTTATTTGTTTATGTTTTAATTCTGAAAATGTCAGGTTGAAGGTATAATTATGTTTCTTTCTGGGTGCCAGATTCATTTATGTTAGAGCACTTTTTAAGTACAGCAGTGCTTTGATTAACCAGAACCCTCCAGTAATGGTTGTCTTCTCAAGGACAGAAGTAGCAGCCAAAGGAAAATCTAAGAACTATAGTTCAAATAAAGTTCATTAGAGCCATGATAAGAAAACACAGTGATCATTTAGTTCATTACCCAAGAAGATCCTAAATCCAAAGGAGTGCTGAGCCTAGTTAACTAACCACTGAACTAAGGCTAAAAAAACAGCCAGCCAAGGGCCAGAGTTCAGAGGAAAATAAAAGCTGAATTCAGTGGTGAAATCTGCATTGTGAAAGGAAGACCTGAGACACAGGAAATGGATGACAGAAGGAAAGTGAAATGGGAAAGGCTGAAGAACTTGAAGTGGAAGATGGAAATGGCCAAAATGAAGCTGGTGCATAAGAATTTGAAATCTAGAGACAGGAAAAGCAGTGCAAATGAGAGTATTCAGAGCCAAAGCCCCACTATGATCATGGATATGCAATGGATATAAGTGGGAGTTGCTGGTCTACCAAACTTCCCAGAATAGAGGCCCCACTACTACTCACATACTTATGAACTGCTCACGTTAGAGTACTTTAAAGTACAGACAGATGCACTCAACCTTATTTGTTGCATGATTTACTTCCACAGATACATTTATTTTTAGATATGTTCAAAGCATGGGTGGAGTGAAAAATTTGAATTGGGAGATCTCAGAGGAACTACATTCCGGATAGAGAAAAATCTGTAGTATAAAGAGAGAAAAAAGATAACCAGAGAGTAAAGAAAAGTTTGGTTGGTTGGTTTCATTTCGTCTCTGGCTTAGGGTAAAAGTAAACTCATGCTCTCTCTGCCATTACTCTAAGGCAATTGAACTAAATGTTCAGTGTGTTTTTCAGAAATATTTTTTCCTACTTATTATATGAATAAACACTTTCTTTTGGAAGACATGTTAGTCTAATCTATATAAAAAATATTTTCTTCCCACGGGCTGGGGCTGTGGCTCAGTGGTAGAGTACTTGCCTCACACATATGAGGCATTAGGTTCGATCTTCAGTACCACATAAAAATAAATGAATAAATATAGATATTGTGTGCATCAACAACTAAAAAAAAGTTTAAAGAATATTTTCCATGAGAAACGATAATTACTGATATTTTGTTAATATTAATGTTGCCTAATGATGACACCTATACACAAAGATTTAATTCATTATATGTAGAAAATATATTTATTGAAAAAGTTATTATTTAAACATTTTTATAAGCAGAAATTTTGGTTAAACACTGAATATGAAGATGTTAGCAGAAACAGCTGCAATACCATGTTACCAGGAGTAACCACCTTTTCCTCTGAAGTGAATTATAAAGAGAAAAAAATGGCAAAGTAATAAGAATTTAGCATAACTTTTGGCAATAAGAAAACATACGGAATGCAGAGATAGTCATTGCATAATAATTCTTAAATACGTATTTTTTCCCGTAAAACATTCATTTTTCTTTCTTTTGCATTTATGTTAAAGAGGCAAAAAGAGGAGAAAAAAACTCATTTTAGGAATTTTTTTAAGATTTACCGGCTTCATCAGTAAAGTCAGTTCAGTGTCACTCACATATTAGGGAGGTGGTAAAGAACTTCAACTTGGAGGTTTTATTTTTCAACAAACACTAATTCTAACTATACCTCATTAATATTCCTTTCTCATTCTTTAGTGACATTTAAGCAGATTCCAAAATGCTATGGCAAATTTCAATTACTGAAATATGTACCCTTGCAAATGAATTCAATGTACAAATCAGCTTCTCTTCTCAACTGGTCTGTTGAGCTGAGACCCAGATGTCCTCCTTTGCTGGACTGAGTGAGGCAAGTCTGGCTCTGAGCTCTCTCTTTCTTGCTTTCTGCAGGCATAGTCCTCCAGCGTGCTGGAAGGGAGAGAGTTATGCAGACATAAGTGTCTGCACTTGACACTCTGCTCCTATAGCCTCTGTCTCCTCTCTGTCTCTGTTTCTCCAGCACTGACTGGTCCTTGAAACACTCCAGGTCACCAGGAAGTGGCTGATGTTTCCTTGTTGGTTCAAGAACCCTTCTAGTGGTTGGAGCTTGTTCACCCAATTCCTAAAAGTTTTTGTAACCTGTGTAGATTGTTAAAACATTCACCTTAACACTTTATGTGAGGAATAACCTCTGGAATCATGACTTTGCCATAAATTTGATATATGCTTGTATTTACTTAGGAATATTTCCATGTAGTTAGATTTCATAGTATCTACTTTTCACTGCTTCGATCTATTGCAGTAAGATTTATACAAGCTCTTAAGAACTCAAAATAAGTTTCTAAATGATTGGGTGAGTTTTGCAACTTAGGATCAACTCAGGGAACTATTTTGCAATGTGTTCTTGCATTCTTTATGAGCTCTATCTAATTTAGAACATAAATTTCAGATGAATGACTCTGCATTATCATAAGAGCTCAGGTAAAGTTATCAATGAGTATGGGTGTGTGCATATTTGTGCTTGTATACACACATGAATGAGCATGTGTGTGTGCTGGGGATGGAGATAGGAGTAGTAAATCAAGTCAAAATGAAAATATTCTGTGTAGGAATTACATGTTAGCACTCCTTTTACTCTACATATGCAAAATTGCCTACTAGAAGATGAAAATGTTAAATTCATTTAATATTTTTTATTGGTTGTTCAAAACATTACAAAGCTCTTGACATATCATATTTCATACATTAGATTCCAGTGGGTTATGAACTCCCATTTTTACCCCAATTACAGATTGCAGAATCACATCAGTTACACATCCACATTTTTACATGATGCCATATTTGTGACTGTTGTATTCTGCTACCTTTCCTATCCTCTATTATCCCCCCTCCCCTCCCATCTTCTCTCTCTACCCCATCTACTACAATTGATTTCTCTCCTTGTTTTTTTCCCCATTCCCCTCACAACCTCTTATATGTAATTTTGTGTAACAATGAGGGTCTCCTTTAATATAATGGGAAGGAAAGCAAGTCAGTCATTGTATGCAAATTCCTGATGTTTTTTCTCCATCAACAGGGACAGGTCAGCTGCAAAGTACATCCCATCTTCCCAGAGTTGTTTAAGAACTTGATCCTTAGACACACCTGTTAGTAACATGGCTTGAAGTTCTCTCCATTCTATTTCCTCTCTTTTGGATGCTATTTCATCCAGCTGCTGATAATTAGAAAAACAAAGCAGATTCCACTCATGGATGCTGATCTCTGGAGAAAACTGGGGGAACATAAAGCCAAAGAACACGGTAAGCCTTTTTGTTTTCAACCAGGAGGCACACTGCACTATATTCCTTTTGACTGTGAAACCACAGGAATGGCTGAACGTCACTAACCACAAGTGATTTTTGAGTGTGAAGGTAGGGGCAGGACATGAGAAATATATCAGTTTATAATGTATGACCTTCTATATTCTGAAAAAATTTTAAAAGCCACATGTATTTGAATCAGTACATTATAAATGCATCAGACATGTAAGATGAATAACGTATATGGCTGGGTACCAGCAGCTGAATTCTTTCCCACATTGTGCTATTTTTAGCTGAGAAGGTTTTTCAGATATTATGCAGAGATGGACATTCAATAAACAATGAAGCCCAATACAAGAATTCAAAAATGAAGCAAATTTGGCACCAGATAAACCACTTCAACTAATTATTAACTTATCATTTAATGTATTACATATAAACATATGCATATGTGTATAGAATATTCAGTGATATGCATGATGGTTTAACACTAATATTAAATGTGTTCTCAACTTATGATATTTTCCAGTTATAATGGGTATATTGAGTGGAATGCCATCATAAATCAAGGAGCACTTGCACATACAGAGTTTGAAACCATCAGCTATACTCTACTTGCCTACAGTTACTACCTAGTCATTCAAACTAGGATGGACTGATTAGGTTAAAGCTCTCACAGTCCAATCACTTTTCCTCTGAACATTCCTCCATCAACACAGGAAATTTTAGGGAACATTTAGTATTCAAACCTTAACAGTTGCATATTGAATATTTAGTTCATTTTGTATTTTTGTTTGGGGAAAAAATAATGCCACGTTCTAGCCCACACCCAAATACCACAAAACATCAGCATCAAAATCAACCTAGCAAAACACCTGCATAATATAAAATTAATGTGTTAATTAATTAATAATTAGTGTATAATTAAACCATTGGAAGTATGTTTGAGCATGTTATGCAAAACTATTTTTTGATATTGGATATTAATTAAATTCTACTTCTGTACTGTAAAAACATCTCTGAAGATGTAAATAAAAAATATGTTAAAGATAAATGTAGGTTTGGATCTTTATCAATGTATATTTCAGCCATCGATTTTCCAGAAATGATATTATTATTTAATCCTTTTCTCATCAAGAGTGAACAACTGAGACACATTGTTGCTAAAAAGATGATAATAGCTAATAATGCTGACTGCTTGTTTTTCACAGGTCTTGCTATATATACCTTGTATTTATTTTTTATAACAACTTCATGACATAAGTAATATATCAGTAGTAGCACCATTTTAAAGATGAGGACACCCAAGGAGATTATGTAGTAAAATTGTCCAAAGTCACATAGTAATTCATGGTAAAGCCTATTTGAACTCTGGTATTCTGGTTATGAAGGCCTATTTATTTAGAATTTCAGCATTTCCAACTATTGAAAGGGGAGATTCCCTCTCTATTTGTGTAGATCTGTCCTTTTAAAGTAGAGTTTAACACAGAAACATAGCTTGGCTCTAAATAGTGAGAATACAAATTTCTGATATAGGACTTTATCTTCTAAAGAATGGATCTTGTTGGCAGGAGTGATGGGGAAAGGTACTCACTGCTAGTTACACTGGTAAACTGGCAAACATGGCCATGCATGGGGTCTGCTCATGCTGTTATGCCCGAAGAGGAAAGTTCAATAAAGTCTATTTAAAAAAAAATGTTTTTAAAGTATTTGCTTAAATACTACTTATAGGGGAGAGAGAAAAAAAATGAGAAGGTAGTGTATTCTCAATTTCACTAATATGGTGAAGGTTAGGAAGGAAACTAGGATTTTATTTTGAAGTCATGTGGTCAGAGATTTCATAGGCTGATCTTCTCTCTAACTTGGATATGTCACCTCCCCACCGATGGCAAGGAGCATGTTTGGATCCAGAAAGGTCAGTTGCGGCTGCAGTACAGACCATCTAAATCAAAATCAAATCTCGCCTATGTCTAAAGCAAATACTGGACTCAGATGAAAGAACCTGTGCACCTATAAAGATCAGGGACATGACAATGTGACCCTGGGATGAGATATCATAGCCAAGGCCTTCTACAGTAGGAAGAATATAAATAAAGGAGACAAAGTGTTTACAATAGTCCTTTGAGGGAGAGAGATGATCCTTCTGCTGGCACTACATGAAACTGATTTTAATCACTGTAATAGGGGACATAGATAGATGTTTTGTGAAAGGAAAATTCTACAATAGAACATTTAGGAGGAGCGTTATTGTTTTCTGTGTCACTAGAAGACCTCATAAAAAGAAAAATCAAGTAACATGGTGTACAGACTCTGGCTAATTGCTGTTTGATGAAAGAAAAGTTGGGGGGTGGGGAAGAAGATGTCCTAGAGACGAACTATAAAATCCAAATAGTTCACTTTGCTTCAAAATTGTTTCCTGTTATAAAGCACCAAATTCAAAGGGGATATAGTTTGGTCTAGGGAAATTACACAAAATAAATAACTAAAATCCTTGAAAATTACTTTAGCCCTACTCCACAATGAATGCAAAACATTGAGTCAGTGTGAAAATAAATCTATTCCTTATATTGTTACTTTTCTTCTTGAAATTTGTCAAAATATAATGACAGTATATTATTACCCCAAAGTATTCTGTGGGTTTCAAAAGTTTTCTCTTTAAAAAAAAAAATTACATATACTGTGTCAAATGAATGTTATATAAGAACTGTAAAGAGATAAGGTAAAAAGAATAATCTAAAATTAGTTTTCACACCGATTCTAAATTTTTGAAAAAAAATACTTGTATCATTTTTAACAGATAAATAACTTACTTGCTACCTACTAATTTGCCATGATGCAAGTTTAGAAATTATTGGCTATAATTATAATTGGAGCCCTTATTAACACAGATATATAGCCTATGTCATGGTCAGAAAAATCCACAAAATGAAAATTAAAAAGAAAACAGTAAAAAAGAAAGAGGAACAGAGAGAAGGTAAATTAGATTCCAAAAGAGTGTTATATTATTAGTTGAAGTATTTATTCTTAAGTCCACTACTTCCATACAGAATCTTGTACCATGTAAATTCTCACATTAGTTGATCTCCAAATCACTAATATATTTCATTGACATTCAGAGCACAAACAACCCCGCCCAAATATGATTTCTTCTTACATGTATGTAGAATTTTGTTTTGAATGAGTTTATTTCCATGCTTTAGGTAAATGAAGAATAAGAAATGGTAAACTACTAGAGAGCAGAGAGAGAAGAAATGAAGCTCATTTTGGAAAGCAGGGAGCCCAGCCAGGGAAGGATCTGGAGGGTATGAATGAAGTTCAATTTAGATGTCTGTGCACATGGTTCTGCATTTTCTGCCAAACTTACCAATTAAAATTTTGAAGTTAAAACATGCTGAAGGGCTAGTTCTAAGAGACAAATATTAAAGTTGCTTTGGATTTTGCCTAAATCACAATCGTTCAAGTAGGTTCCAATAATCTATTTTGTTGTTTGAGGAAACAAAAATTAAATTTAAAACATAAATTAAACAGGATTTCCAAATGTTTGCACTTACATAAGACAGATTACATTTTAAGTGTTAACTATAAATGCAAAGAGCTAGAAGGAAATGCTGGTTTATTTTAGAATCTCTGCCATCCTGTTTAAGAATGGGAAGGGAAATAGATGATTCTTTGACAAAACTAAATTCTTATTCTTCTACTGTGACTGGCAGCCTGGAATTCAAAGTTGCTACAAGAATGCAATTTACCAGTTTTATTAAGAAACAGAAATCATCATGAAATTACAGGTAAACCTCTTAGAAGACAACTGAACTAATAATTACTCAGCAGTGCCTTGACGGTGATCTAAGGAATAGTGAATGCAAACCAGAGCAGAAGTGAAGAAAACTCCATTAGAGGGAGAGAAAATGAAGCAGGGATTCTCTTCTTGTCGTGTTTATAGAAGTAGCCAACATGCATATTTAAGTACAGGTACCAGAAGGTGGCTGAGAGGGGCATCTCCCTTGGAACCTACTGGAAAGGTCTAGACAGCAAACACATCTCCTCACCAGCTTATTTACTTTAGAACAAGGATGGGTGAAGGCTCTGAGAGGTATCATGGCTCTCTAGCAAATTGTTGCACATTTTTTCTTGATATTAATCAGAATGCCTTTGAGTATATTCATGATGGATTTTACAGGAAGTATCTGTCATAGCAGTCTAAAAAGATATGATTTTAAAAAATCGTTTCTAAGTAAATTAATTTATTTGAACTGCACAAGTTTGAGTCAATGATTTAGAACTAAAAGTGAGCTGTGTGCCTTATAAACATGACAATACATGAAAAGATGTGTTAAAAAGCTACTATTTTACTGTGTATGAGAAGTGTTGGTGCTAATAATGACTTCTGTGAGGAGTTATACATTATAATAACTTTTATTTTTGAGCATTTTATGCCTGGAGCTTTGAATATTTCCTTTTAAATGGATCTGCCATATCTAAAGTATCACTACTAAATAAATAATGGTATAACTTAAAAATTTCTTCGTGATACCTCTACTTGCTCATTAGAACAAAATATAAATATTTGTAAGTAAAGGAACATGTGTTATTATCTCTGCTCCTTTATTAGTCCATCAAAACTCTTATTTTAAATAGAACATTTCTCATGAGGGCATTATACGTGAAATTGCGACATCAGTATGGCTCTAATCATGCTTTTGAAATTTGTTGTACACAATTAAAGTCATATTTCATAACTGAACTTTACAAGGAATTACAAAGAAAACTGCAATTACTTTTCATACTGATAACCATAACTAGTTGACAGCTCAGGGCAAAATTTTTAAAGAATGCCAAACATAGCTCCTGGCTTCATTGGATTTAAAGTGTAACTAAGAAAAATTATGCATGCTATTCCTTTTAATATTTCTAACCAAGAAAAAATAAACAAGTTTTGAAGAATTCAATGTAGAGTACAACATGATCCATTTTAGAACACAAAAATTTACAATGAAGCTCATGTTTTCTGTGAACTGAAGGACCCAGCAGCATGCAACTGAGGAGGAGAAAGGTGGGTTCTAGAACATGTCCATGGATTGTTTTATGTAATTTACATGAACAATTTTATGATATATTTAGGTGATGACCTCTCAAGTTGCTACAATTTCAGCTATATTAAATTAAATAAAAATTTAAAAGAAGATATGCTTTTACTCATATACCATTATCTGTTAACATACAAGGAGTTATGAATTATCCCAAGCAATAGCTAGCAGACAGCCTTTAAGATATATCATTAAATACAATTTTATATTTGAAAGAAAGCGAAATTGCTCTTAGATTTCATGGTTGGAGGAAAATGGTTTTTATTTTTTATTTTGCTTTGGTTTGATTTTTTAATTTCTCCTTGGGCACTATCCAACTAAGACAGTGTTCTAAAAGTCCACTAAAACTTTATCCAAAATCATTTAATAGGTGAACTTAATGCATGCATAAGGAAGTACTTAGCTTGCAAGAAAAGAACAAATGTATTCACTGATTACTCAGGTATTTTTAATTGGGTTCCAATAGCATTATAATACACACACACACACACACACACACACACACACACACGCTGTATCACAGAAAGGCAAATGTCACTATTCAATCATTTTACCCCAAGTTTCTTGAAACATGATGAAGGAAAATGTTGCAGTAATTTCCATATTGCTATCTTTGCCTCTTAGTTTCTGCTTACTTTCTTTGCTTAGGTAATTTTATTCACCCTTCAAGCCTCAGCTCAAAACTATGTAGTTCATCTAGGGTCATTCAATGTTGCTCAAACATTGTTCCACTGCGTACTCTTATCAGGGTCCTTTTCTGACTATATGTACTTACTCATTTTTTATGTTTTCTCTGTGTGTGAAAACAGGCCCCTGTCTGATTAGCCTTTTAACTTCAGCACTGGGTCCCATGCTGGTAACTTATTAGACATCCAAAACGTTCTTATCAAGTAAATAAATTAGTGAAGCAATAAAGAAATATATAAAAGTCATATTTTATTACTGAGTCAGTTCATTAACTCCCAGATGAAAAGGGAGCATTATTTCTGGGAAACAATGTTTTCTCACTTAGGAGAAGAGACACCTAACTACTTTACCATCCCCTTAAATCACTGTCTCCATTCAGAGATGCTACCCAAACACTGTATTGTATGTGTACCCAAACACTGTATTGTATGTGTAAGGAGTTTAGACATATATATATATGGCATGTAGACATTTAGAAGAAAAATTGTGGGAAGAGGATTTTTTATTATAGTTATCCTATCATTTTCCTATGAAAATTATGTTAAACTTATACTTGTAACTGTAACTTGGTATATTGGCCTTGAAACTCACTTTTCCTTAACTGTATATCCTGCACAAATTTCTTATTAGAAATTACCTTTATTTGTATACTACTATTTTTATATATTAAGGCTGGATAATTTTTTAATTCAGATTCAGCTGTCTTTCCTTTTACTAACTTCAACTTCAGTGATTTATCTGCTTGTCTTTTTAGTTTTTGAACACACAATAAAATGACTTTCATAAGATGTAGACTCCATGATGACAGCAGTTTTGTCTGCTCTGATCAGTTTTGCATTCCCACTGCTTAGAACAGTTTCTAGCATATAATTTACTCAATAAATATTTGTTGAGTAAAAAGAAATGAATAAAAAAGAGCAAAATCATTACCGATGCTTTATTATTTTATTTTAAAGGATTTCCAAGTTTTTCAGATTGTATTACTTAGATTAGTTGATTAAAATATATGTAAAAGTCATGGTTTCTGTATCTTTTAGCTATTAAAATATTTCTGATCAGTGCTAATTACCTTTATACCAATCTTAGTTGAGCATTTAGAACTTCTCTATTTAACAAGTAGATTACAAACCGTTCAAGACATATGAAATCTATAAACGATGGTGCAGCAAAAACTCATCTACAAGTGTGGTTTGGACCTGGTGTGTCCTCAAGAGCTCATGTGTTGAAGGCTCAGTCCCCAATGCAGTAATGGTCACAGCTGGGGATTTTAGGAAATGAGTGGGTAATGCAGACACTAACCTTATTGGTCAATTCTATTTGCTGGAGTGATGATTTGAATAGACTGCTGGAAAGTGGTGGAAACTGTAGACAGGTGGACATGGTTGGAGGAAGCAGGTCACTGGGGGTGTGCCCTCTGGTATTACATCTTGTCCCTTTCTTTCTTTCTCTTAGCTGCCATAAGCTGAACAGCGTTCTTTCTTCAGCCATGCCCTTCCAGCTGTTCTGCTTCATCTCAGGCCCAAGGCAACGGATCTTGCTGACCATGGACTGAAACTGTGAGCTGAAATAAATCTTTCCTCCTTTAAGTTGTTTATATCAGGTATTTTGATCACAGTGATGAAAAGCTGATTAAAATATCTACCTGCTGAGTTTATTTGAAATATTTTATTCTAATACATTACAGAGTTCTGTGTAGTCTCTTCACATCAGTTTTCTCAACATTACACACATTATGTTGAATCTGGCAATTTTCACATTTATAAATTTCTTTACCACTGTGATATGGTCATATTTCCTTTCAATATATAATATTGCTTAGAGTTAGGGTCCCAATGTATCATCTATATTACAGAAGGAACAGCAGAATATGTGCATTATAATTAAAAATCCAAATTCTCAGACCTCATGTCAAGATATACCAAATAGAAATTTGGATTAGAGCCCATCATTATCATAACTGTAATGTATGCTGAAGTTTAAAAACTGCTGATTTGTAACAATACTTTTTAGTCTAGGTAACATCAAAGCCCACATTCCAACAGGAATAGCATCCATTCTTAGAGTTATGGTGGAAAAACTTAAGCCACCATTTGAATTATATCTCCATTTACTTGAAATGAGGTGACAATGAATTTCTCTGAAGGAACTCTTTGACCAACCTTTCTCATTGAAATAAAGATGACACTCCATTTCCATTTGTATTTTTTTAAAGTTTCATTATTTTTTTTATATAAAGAATTGATACCAAGCAAATTCCCAGGGTATGTTATAATTAGCAAACATTTGGCCATTTTATAAAGGAGGCAAAGAACCCAGACGTTCCCCACACTCACTTTTTCCCTTGCTGGTTGTATGCTTCATGTTCCTCTCAAGTTAGAAATAGGGAGGGATGGAATTGCCTGCTTTGTATCAGAGGAATTGTTTTTATGATTCTGTCCTTCTGATGTTTTACATTCTCTGTGGGGACAGAAAATTATAAGAACCCAAAACTGTTATTTTCAAGATTCATTCATTTATGGTTTATTGTAGGATAAACACATCCCTTTGAATGAAAAAAATCTGTATAAATGTTAAACCAGGCTCTTTTCTATATTGATGTTGCTAAGTATTTTTAAGTTTGTATATGCCTTTGCATAAATTAAATCATTTATAGATATTGTACCTATTCTAAATTATTGCGTGGCACAATATATACATTCATTATTCTAAACCTAGCAATTTTCATGACCATTCATCACTTTATAGCCATAAATATAAATAGATTATGAAAGTATTCAAATCAAAACAGAAGAAAACATTTACTTACACTTGTGTGCAATCTGAGGAGACATTGTAAGCCAAATGAATTTAGAAGGCACATTAGCATCATCTGAATTCTGGAATGTGACATACACCTGCTCTCATTCATGCAAAGCTTTCTTGTGGGAGGTATAAGCTGTCTCTATTTTATCTGTCAATAAGCACATTTTAGATGCATAATCCTGCACTCTGCACACTGCTTAGGAAGAATACGTACAGTGAGTTGAAGATCACTTAACATGCTAATTTCCATCATTTTTCTGAAACTTAATTTGAGTTTCCATGATTCTACACAGAATCAAAACATTAAAGATGATACTAAGTTCCAACATCAGCAACATTTATAGATAAGAGTGGGTTGGAGGTAGGCTTTGTTTTGCCCAGCTTATATTATGAAGATAATTATGCAGTCATGTATATACTTCTAATTTCCTTTCTATCAAAATGATCATACTCATGGCAATTAGAATGGAAAAAACAGACGCAATCTTTTGCCTGAAAGTATACATTTTTATATGTTGTGGTTTGACCTTGATCCAGCCAGGATGCTAATCATGCTTTGGGGGGATAACATGGCTATCATGGGAAAGAAAGAGAAAAAAGAACAAACAATGATCTGTAGATACCTAGCACTGTCTTAACAAAATCAATTATTATATTTCTAGAAATTTCAAGTACTGACTGTTAAGTGCATCCTTTAAAAAATCAGTTATATAAACTTAAAATTAATGAATTATATTTTTAAGGCTTAATAAATACTCATCATTCCTATTCATTTTTTATGTATTCCAGGTTTAGCTTTGCTCTTGAGGCTTTATGTATAGTGTGTGCTATGCAACTTTTTTGTATTCTGCATTCAGCAATATATTGGTGAATTGAAAATGGTCATGTTAGGGAAATATACATCACCATAATCATCAGATGCAACCAATTAGGACTTTCCCAATATCCATCTCCAATTCCCATACTCCTCCCCCACCCCCACCTCCCACACACCAGAAAGACTAATGTTTAGCATTTGCCAGCATATTACTGCAAAGGATCAAAGATTAGGACAAATTTTCTGGAAATTCTTGATGAAGTCTAAACTCAGAAGAAGTTGGGCCTTCTCTCCAGAATAATGAGAATGCCACTAATGTTTTTCTCAGTGACTTCCAAGGGACAGTCTAACCACTTGGATTTATTTAGTTAAAAATAATTGCAAGTATTTTGCCAATAGCACTATATACACACTTAAATCTCTCTCTCTCTCTCTCTCTCTCTCTCTCTCTCTCTCTCTCTCTCTCTCTCCCTCATCTCTATCTCTCTCTCTCTCTTTTGCCAATTTCAGTTCTCTTCCTCCTGCCAGAGGTAGTTACCTCCCTAAATTTAAGTTCACAATTGCAATTTTTGTAATTTTATGCACTACATAAATCTGTAATACAAAGCACTGTACTTTATTGTAGTGGTAAAGTTTATTTGCATTGTTATTTTCTTTTTACTTGACATTTTTGATATAATTTATCAATTTGGTTCATGAGCCTCTATTCAAATATAGTGAAAAATCTGCTAAATTTCAGTGGCCTACTGTATGAAAAATACTAAAATGTGTCAATCCGATCATTAGTTGGCAGTTACTTTAGTAATTTTTAATCTTGCATTATATGAAAATGTGTAATAAGAAAAATATTTGCTTATATCTTACAAAAAAGTTCAATAGATTCACCAGGTTGTATATGCTTACACACACACACACACACACGCACACGCACACACACGGAGACAAGTAATTTTTTGACTTCCAGGGTGTGTGGAGCCTTTCTTTTATTTATACTGCTGGACTGCCTTCTTCTTTGTTGATAGCAGTATATACTCCCATCAGGCATGTGGTAGATTTTTTGCTTTCCCACATTTATATCTTCCTCTGACACAATTCCATTTTTAAATTTTAAGAAATGCTTTCTCCTATTTGTATAGTGGCATCTTCCTGATTATCTGTGAATTGACCTTTTTTTTTTTCCTCTCCTATGCTAAATGAGATTTTTTTTTTCTTTAGTGAATTATCTGTTCTTTTTTGGTGAAAACACAAAGGGTGAAATTGTCAAGTCAGGATCATTTGGATTATGTTTTTTTTTTTTTTTTTTTTTTTAATATCAAGCTTCCTGGGTAACTATGGGGATCTAAGTAAACAAAAGCCTCCAGGACTGCAGGGAGTGTTCTGGGGCATGTCGGATTGCTGCCTAAACCTTTCCTTTTCTCCTCATTCTATTCTGCCCCAGATTATCAATGTAGTTTCTAAGTGTAAAGAACCAGAGTAAAATGTTTTACATTTTTTATATGTTAAAATATTATATAATTAAGTTACTGTAATAAAATAATGTCATCCTTATTAAATATAGGAAAATATAAATATTCAGGAAGAAAATAAATATCCCTCAACTTTTCCTCCACCTTTAAATGTTGCTTTAATTCTCACAGATTAATGATTTGATATGAATTTTCCCAAATTCTTTCATTACAAATATTTAGTGAATGAACAGATTAAAAATTTACTAAAATTTATTGTTTAAACATATTAAATCAATATCTAATATTTTTAATTTGAATGAGTTGTTAGGTCAACATCGTTTGGCAGAAATTAAACATCTTCTATATGAATGATTCTATTGTTAAATATCTTTACATTTTTGTGTATATGTGCTTTCAAGTGTTTTAGTTTAAGCTGTATTAAAATATTCATCATGAACTGAGTGAAATAATGAGTTTGGTTTAACTGGTAAATTGCTCTATTACTGCTTAAGACAGACCATTTCTGTTCTTTGCATTAAGGCTCACGTTGCTAAGTAGAAAGGAGCTCACTTAAATGGTCTGTGTTAAGTAACCAACTGTTTTAAAGGCCTTATTGAAGTTATTATATAAAAGTTAATTCAAATTGACTATGTTTCTTGGCAAAAATGGAATATAAAATAAGCAGCACAGATGCATGTAGAATGAGAGAATTTTGATAACTTAAAATTTAATAGATTCATCTTGGAGCTAATTAGTTCTCCTTAAATTCTGCTTAGTATAGTAGCCGCTGTCAGGCAGAAATTTCTTGGCTCCATAAACCAGACATTCTAGATTAGTTGATGATGATAAAATGACTTTCAGTCCTAAAAGATTACTTACATTATTATACTTGTATGTATTATACATAATAGATTTAAGAAATATAATATGCATTGAAAATTATCCTACAGAATAAATATGTTGGCAATGAAATATACTAAAACAGAAGTTTAAAGCACAATTTTGTGAAAAGTAGGTTAGTTTTCAGGGACTATAACTTAACATTTGATGTTAAAACATCATTCATCAAGTATAGGTTAAGATTTGGGAAAGAATAACATGTTTCAAAAATTATTTTTCATCAAAGCCTATTATTAACTTATATTTTTAAAAGCTTTATGCAATTAAAATGGGAAGATTATAATCTTTATTATTGTTCATTAAATACTCTACTCCTGGGAACTGGAAACAGTAGTAGATACCTGAATCCCAGCAACTCGGGAGGCCAAAGCAGGAGAATCACAAGTTTAAGGCCAACCTCAGCAACTTAAAAAGAACTTGTCTTAAATTTTTTTTAAAAAATGAAAAATAAAAAGGACTGAAGATGTTGCTGTATAATAAAGCACTCTTAGATCAATCCCTAACATCAAAAATAAATATAAAACTAAAAATCAATCAATCCTGAACTTAAAGAACTTTGAACAAGCTGTGTACTTCTCAAAGAAAGAATAAATATTGACAAGAATATAAAATAGCCAGGAAACAATGCCTTATCTTTACATATGGTACAAAGTATCCAAAACACTTGAATGATTTGTGCTTTTATTAATACTTACCAGTTATTGAACACATACATACCCATGTTTAGTTCATATGTGAAAATACAACTTCATAACTTTGAAAATGGCAGGTAAATTGAGGAAAGATGTTGCTACCAATAAAGGTGTTTAATCAAACTGAAATCTGAGGTTTCTTTGAAAATTAAATATGAAAGTATATCAATGATTTCTATCTAAAATTAGCTGCATAAATATGAGAGGATACTGAGAGTAAAATCTATAGTTTGATTGAAAAAGCAAGGAATTTGAGATCATAAGAACCAATTCTGTTTTTCTCTATATATAGGCATGTAATTCCTGGCAGACTATATTGCTCAATCTGCAATTTTACTTGCAACACAATAGCTATGTTTCTATGCAAGGTGAATATGTTGGAAATAATAACGAAAAAAGTTTATAACTACAGTTAAAGAGCTTCTTGATCATACCATAGAAAGGCTCTCATAAATGTCAATTGAAAGGAGAACTTCAGTTGAAAAATGCAATATACCACTTCTGGGTGACATTCTCCTTCATGGTTTAAGAACTTCTCCCAAAGCTAATAATGATGATGCACTCTTAGTCTACCATTATTTATACTTAAAAGTTATTGTGTGAGTATATACTTATTAAAATAAGTCTTCTCTGGTGATATTATTTATTTTTACTTCTATGGGCTTGATCTCATGAAATTCATATTAAGGAAAGGGGAGTGTAGAACAAAAGTTTGAAAATTGTTACATCAATTTTGCTGCCTGAGAGAAATAAGAACAAATCTGACGGAGAACACCTAATTTATTCCTAATTTAAAAATTAAGTTTTTATATCCATTCAAGTGATATTAATCCAAGTAAAGCCTGATTGATTAAATTCATAGTTTGAAATACTTCAAAGAAGTTCATTAATGGATTTTATAAGCAGGTTTCTGCATGCCAAGTAATAATAATTTTATTAGTTATCCCTATAAAATATGAAGGTTTTTTTTTTTCAGTGTTATTAGACCACACAATATTTAGTCATGGCTTTTACAAAACCTTTCAAATTACCTTGCTGCAGTAGACCCTACACTGGGCCTACACTTTGAAGACCACTCCATCTAGTCCAAATATAATCACCATCCTAGTATTATGTACTTCATGGTCTAGAGCTTATACTAAATTCATTCATTTACAAAGGAATTCAATTTGTAGCTATTTAGTAAGTCCAAAATAAAACACTGGTGTAGCAATTAGAACTTCATTTTCAAGTTCATGTATATCTGATTTCCAACAAATACTACTCACTGTTGCTTTGCTCTAATTGCCTTGATAGCAATCTCCATGTTACTATTTCAGGAAAATAGAAGCATCTGTTATCTCCTTGAACCTAATTTACCTCTTTAGAATGTGCTAGCTAGCTTGTTGTGTAGTAAACTAGATAGTATATTAAGTCACATAGATGTTAGATGCAGGGAGTGATAAAGCCAAACCTTTGGTTGTAAATTTATTCTACCTCCAGCTAAAGACTTCCTATGGTTTTGATTAAATCCCCCCAGTTGGAATCCATTTGTACCCAAACCAAACATATCCTAAGAAAATAGTTGAAACTGAGACCAGGTCTAAAAGCAGACACATTGTTAAAATTGAATTTATGGTGAATGATAACTTGCAGACAATTTACCTTAAGAAAAATGGTCAGGAAAGTAATCTCTCTCATTTAATTACTATTTAAGAATCTTAAAATGCTGCTCATGCTGAAAACATTGGAAAATTTAAAAGAATATTTTAAATTAGCTTATTAACAATTTTTTTAAAAATAACTATTTATTATATTCATATTCATCTTTAAAACTGTGTTGGCTTATATTTTAAAACATTTGAAAATCGCAAATTTATTGGTTTTTTTAAATTTTTTCCATAACTTTTATTTATTTATTTATTTTTATTTCTTGCATACATGACAATAATGGAATGCATTACATTCATAATTATCCATCCACAGCACAATTTTTCATAACTCTGTATATAAAGTATGTTCATGCCAAATTGTCATTATACATGAGCTCGCTCTCTCTTTTTTTGCATTACAATTGTATTAAGAATTGTAAGCAAATTTATTGTAACAGCAGCTACTATTTACAGAACATCACCATGTATTGAAAGTCAGTTGAATTTTGAGGAATGTTTTATTTCATTTAATTCTTACAACCCACCATGTCGAGTACTGATCCTCTCATATTACAGATGAGAAATCTGCATAAGTTGGTGAAAAATGCCAAAAGACATGCTAATAAAAAAGAGAAGTGTGTGTAAAGACATCCAAGATGAGCAAATTACTGGATTTTTAGTATTGCCTTATCCCTTGGTTCAAAGATATAAAGTGAAGAGCCTGGTGTGGTAGTGCACACCTGTTATCCCAGTGATTCTGGAACCTGAGGGATGAGGATCTCAAATTCAATACCAAGCACAGCAACCTAGCAAGACCCTGACTCAAAATAAAAAAAAAAAATAAAAGAACTGAGATTATAACTCAGTGATAAAGCACCTGAGAGTGTTCAATCCGTAGTTCTTATGAAAAAAAAAAGAAAGAAAGAAAAAGAAAAAAAGAAATCTGCAGAATAAAGTATATTTCCATACACAAGGTATGCTATTTTTTTAGTTTGATATAAAGGAAAAGGAGACCTCATTTTTTTGTAACCTTTTTTCTTTGGAATTTAATTTATGCAAGATTACATAATTTCATAGTCAATATCATGATATTAATTCATTTTTAATGTTTTTTAACATTTCTCTTTAAAAGCCAAGGATGCAGTATGTAATTGATAATTTAAAGCATTAATTTTAACACATTAAAATTATGGAATCTCAAGTAATAGATAAATAACAGAGGATTTTGAAAAATCTCTGATTGTAATTTTTTAATGAAGAAGATTAAGTTTTGGAGAATATAACCTTTTATTTAATTCCTTGCCAATTGAATTATGTGAGGCCCTAGTAAGAAAATATTGTTTTCATTGAAAGCAAAATCATTTTTTTAAATATTATGCTCACTAATAATTTCATCACCAATTATTTAAAAAAAAAAAGAAGGGGACTCTTAAAGACCACCATTATCTAAAAGGCATGGCCAAATAAAAATAAGTTTTTCTTTAAAAAAGTATTTTCCTATGCTCAGACATGGAAACAATTAAGACACAAAGATAATAAAATAAAACACAAGGAAGAAATGAATGAACTCTCTGAAATGGTAGGAAGCAGGGAATAAAAAATTAGCTCTTTGATGGCAGAGGAATTTCAACAGGATCCCTGAGGACCATCACATCTTTCAATAGCATTTTCTCCCAGTTAGGCTTTGGTTTCCTAGCAAGCACTCAGATGATGCTAGTGTTGATAGATTGCATCATACTCTCAATAGCAAGAGTATAGGCATCACCTAAAAATAATAATTCACATAGATCTCTTTCAGATTGAAAAGTTAATGATGGTGAATGCTAAGCAAAAAACAAAACAAACAAACAAAAGAGAAAAACTTTAAATATAAACTTTTAAAAAATTTTTCTATAGTCTTCAAACCCTGATATAATTATTCATATCTGTGGGTATTTACTTTCAGTTATTTTTGTTTGAACAGTTATCTGATAGCTACCGGCTTCTACATTTAACTTTGTTGACTATTTGCATTTTCTTCTTTTTAATGTTTTTTCATAGAATACCTTAAGGCCTTTGGAATATACTGCCATTCAATCATTCAACAACATAGTTGCCCAGTTTCTACACAGTGTCATATTTGGATTCCTTCCAGTGTCTAATTACTATACATACTACATGCATAAATAATTTTCACAATTCTAAATATCTTCTTATAATAGATTTCATAAAAATTGAAACATTCTGTCAAAGGAGATGAACATAGCAACACTCTTGAGTCAAACTGCATTCACAATAACTATCTCCCAATTATTACTTTTAGAACAGTGACTTTTATATATGAAAACTAGTTTTTTTTATTTATTTTATTAACTAACTTTTATCCATTTCCATTACTACTGTTCAGAGAATCCTATTCCCATCCTCTAATATTTTTTCTTTTTAATTCAATAATGTATGTTTCTTACATATTTTATATTTATCTATCTTTTAAGTTTTGTTCTTTTAATGCAGGAAGTTTTTTTCCCTCATTTTCTTACATTGTTTTATATGTAGAAAGTCATTGCAAACCAAAAGCTTGTATTGTCTCTTAGATTCTTTCAGTTCCAGTTGTTTTAAATGTCACACAAAGTAATCTGACCATAATTTTTATTGTTAGTGTGTGGTTCCAATCTCATATTATTTTATTTCCTAGGTAATTTTTCAAACACATTTTGTTTAAATGTCTGACTCATGGGCTTTTATGATTTTTAAAAATCATATGCTAAGAATTTAGAAAGGTAGAAATTGTCTTTGGGCTTTCTGATGTCTTTCACAATACATCTATAAATTACTGAGAAGCTAGGGCACATTTAATTATGTGTGCAAGGTCTTGAGGTGCACTTTTTTCTTATTCAAACATTTATTCATGATGTTCTCAACTTTTTCAATAACTGTTCATCCTTCCAGATGAATAGCTGTATCATGTTAAGATAAAATATGTTTCCTCAGAACTGTGATTGGTAATATTTATATGTCATATCACTTTTCTACTGCTGTGTAATTAATTACTACAAACTGGGTCACTCATAGTTCTCTAGGTCAGAAGTTTAGCACAGTGTGGTTAGGATCCCTGTTCAGACTAAAGTCAGTGTCACAGCTGGCTGAGCTTTCTTTTGGCCTGAGGAATTCTTTCCCAAGCTCAATTCTGTTCTTGGCAATATCAGTTCCTTACAGCTACCATACTAAAGTCCTCATTTTTCTTGTGGAATGCCTACGATTATGGTGTAATTTAATCTAGAAGGTTAGACATTTTAACAATATTTGAACCTCCAATAAGTAGTTGTTATGGTTTGAATATGAGGTGTCCCCCAAAGTTCATGTGTGAGACAATGCAGTAATGTTTGGAGGTGAAATGACTACTTATGAGAGCTGTAACCTAACCAGTGGGTTAATCTATTTGATGGATTAATAATTTGAATAGACTAATAGGTCATAATTGTAGGCAGGTAGGTGTGGGCTAGAGGACTGTGGGGCATTCCAGTGGGAATTATATTATTCCTGGATCCTTGCACTCAAATTCTCTCTGCTAAGACTGTCATAATTGAGCAGCTTTCTTCCATGTTATGTTTTCACTATTATGTTCTGCATCACCATGGCCCAGGACTAGAAAGTATGTCATCTATGGACTGAACCTCTGAAACTATGAGCTCAAAATAAACTTTTTCTCATCTAAGTTATCAGGTATACTGGTCACAGCTACACAAACCTAAGTAACTTAATAGTTTAAACAAAAATATCTTAATTTATACAAAATTACACACACACATATATATATTCACACACACATATATATGCATATATATATATATATATATATATATATATATATATATATCCATAATGGTTATAAATATTTTTGTATGAGTTTTTTATATGTTCCATTATGATTTGGATATGAGGTATTCCTAAAAAGTTCCTGTTAATGCAGAAATATTCAGAGGTAAAATGATTAGATTATTCAACCTGTAACCTTAGTCCTACCTAATTTGAATGGACTAATTGGGTGGCAACTAGGGTCAAGAGGGCTGTGACTAGAAAATGCAGCTCAATGGGATCGAACCTTAGAAGGGTACATCTTACTTGTGGTTCTTGCCCTTCCCTCTGCTTCCTAACCCTACAATAAGCTAAACATCTTTCCTCTGCTGGGCCCTTCCACCATTATGCACTGCCTGGCCTTGGGCCCAGAGCAATGGAGTCAGCCATCTAGGAACTGAGACCTCTGAAACAATGAGCCCCAAATAATCTTTTCCTCCTCTAATTTGTATTATGGTCACAGAAACAAAAAAGCTGACTAAAACATGTACTACAACATTTGTTTATTTTATTCATTTGATTTATGTATAGATATTTTCTTCTTAATGCATCGCTTGTATATAGGAAACTGTATACCTGATACAGTAACCCTGATAACTTAGATGAGAAAAACTTTACAGCATTTTCTGTATCTACTTTTAGTCTCCTACTTTCTAATTTATCTCTTGGTAATTCTTATTGCTTTTATTTAGCTCTCTTGAGTTTTCTAATAAAAACATTTAATCAAAATTATTCTCATGTAATGATCTTGCAATACTTAAAATCTTATTAGTTAAAACACTTCTTCATTCATTTTTAAGAAATTTCCGTCGGAAATTTTTTACCATTTCATAATTGCATTTGTCAATAGTTGTTCATTTCATGATTTTTTTTTTGGTACTGGGGATTACACCAGTATATTACACATGCTAGCAAGTGTTCCACCACTAAGATAAACCCCTAGCCCTTATGAATTCATTCTTTGTTATAGGGGCACAGTACTGGGAATTGAACTCAGGGATACTCCAAGACTAAATCACATCCCCAGCCGTATTCTGTATTTTATTAGAGACAGGGTTGCACCAAGTTCCTTAGCAGCCTTACTCTTGCTGAGGCTGGCATTGAACTAAAGATCCTCCTGCCTCAGGCTCCCAAGCTGCCAGGATTATAGTCATGCAGCACCACACCTGATATGAGTTCATCCCTAATAGTAATTTAAAAACAATTTTCTAGTTTTATTTTAATTAATTTTATTTTGCTTTGCTTTTCAGTCAAAACAAGCATTGAAATTTTATTTATTTATTTATTTATGTATGTTTTACTTTGGGCATCTTAAAATGATCCTATAGATTGTTTTTTTTTTAAGTACATTTTATTTTATTTTGTCATATGATCCTATTTTAGTAATTTTTTTTTCTCATCCAGATGGAATTGAGGCAGAGAAAAATAAAGTCATTTTATAGACACTCAAACTCCCCAAATGTTAAGCATCCATTTTTACATACTTTATTCACAAAGTTGACTATTCAAAGTTCTAGTTATAAGGAGGATGTGTTTTAAGATTGGTTATGTACTCTGATTTTTGTTCAGATGCTAATATTCTTATGTGTTCATTGGGGATTATTGCTTTTTCAACTCATCAAGCACATACTGCTTTGTGATTTTTGCCCATTCATCAGGGATTTGACCTCTATTTGCAAATTTTAGCTGATATTTTTCTTCCAGCTTTGTTCTGAAGTGACAGACAAACCATTTCCAGTATGGCTGGGTGGATGAATCTGGGGTGATGTTCCATGTGGCAAAATTCCTTCCAGCCTTCTGATAGTTCTTATAAGGAATATTACAATCATCTGTCAAAGCAAACAAACGATCACTTGCAACTAAACTAGAACAGCAATCAATGACAAAGTGGTCTGTTCTATACCAGTTAGATCCATTGACAGCCCGAGGACGATGGAATGGAACACTGTGGTCTCCATCATGTTTAGGAATTGTGTATTTATAATTATTAATGTGTTATAGTAGTAAGTGACCTGCTATCTTCAATAAAAATTTCAGGTGTAATTTATGTACAAAATGAATGTTTTAGATATAAGTTCTGATTCGGCTTGATGGATGCATGTATTCTTTTACCTACTAAGCCTTGAGCCTTTGAATTTACTCCTCACTGTCATTTCCAGCACTAGTCTATTTTAAAATGTCATACAAAGGGAATCAGACTGAATGAATCCTCTTGGAGATATCTTCCTTCAGTCAGCATAATGCTAACAAAATTTATCCATGTCATTACATGCTTTAGTAGTTCTTTATTAATAAGAAGCATTACTCTGTGATCTGATTTTTAACTCTACAGTTGATAAACATAGGGTTACATGTACTCTTTCAGTTTTTGAGTGAAACTATGAACTATGAAAGCTATGAACCTTTTTATTCAAGTCTTTTGGTAGAGTCATAGAGTCACAGGGCATGCATATGTTTAACTTTATAAGAAATAGATACATCTTTCAAAAATAGTTTATATTTCACCCTTCCTCAAGCTATACATGGAAGTTCCTGTTGCTCCACATCCTAGTCAATACTTGGAATTCTTTGTCATTTTGGCTTCAGACATTCAAACAGGCATAGAATGGCAGGACAAGTTGCTTTGTGATTATGAGACAGGAGCATCTTCAGGAAACTTCATAAGGACAAGGAAGAATGTCTAGAGAAGACCCAGACTGAAATAAAGTCATCTACTAGAAGATGAGTATTCCTTAGCAATAATGGTTAACTCTTCAAATGTTTTGTCAAATTTGTTTTCCTAGCATTTTGATTACAATTTTGCAGATTGGGTCTTTGGGTCATGTTTTGTTTGCATGTGTCTGTATGTGGTTTTGTGTATTTAGACTTAGGATAACCTCAAAAATGAATTTAATGACTTTCAATCTTTTCTTCAGAAACATCTTTCTTACTATTAAATGATTATTTTACCTATAGATTGAAAGTAATTTTTAAAAATTTCTATCAAGGTCCTTAAATTATACAAAATAGGAACAATTCTGGTGGAAGAAGAGCTTCAGTTTTCAGGAATGTATGAAATAGAATCTGAAAATCCTTGACTATGCAAGATACAGGTGGAACATTCTACAACGTAAGCTCAAGTAAGCAGTGCTGTTAGTCACCAGTATAGACAAATATTTCTATTTATCATGTTTCAGAAGCCAAAGCACACTGTATAAAACCTCCAAACCTGTATCTATGTCACCTCAAAGCCTCCCAGGGAATTATTTTGTGACTCACTTACTCCCACTTCTAAAGAATATTTGCTAAGGTAATGTGGAGATTTGAACTTCGTAGCTTTAACTGAGTTCATCTGAAAGCATCTTATGAAATTATATTGCTAATTTTGCTGAAATAAGTTTTAATTTTTCTTTCTAGTTGTCTTTGGTGATCCAGAACATAGGACGTACTATTGCTCGGGTATGTAGTAGTAGAGGCTTATAAAATCTATATTTTTTATTTGTCCTTTTTAGTTTATGTGACAATAGAATGTATTTTGACATAACATACATACATGGAATATAACTGCTCATTCTTGTGGCTGTACGTGTCAAATTACACTGATCCTGTATTCATATGTGAATATAGGAAAGTTATGGCTGATTCATTTTAGTGTTTTTTTCATTACCATCACCCCTCCCTCTCCACCACACCCTGGTCCAATCCAGTGAACTTCCACTTCTCCCTCGCCTCCTGCCTATTGTGAATCAACATCCACATATCAGATAGAAATTCAGACTTTAACTTTTAAGGATTGGCTTATTTCACTTAGCATGATAGTCATTTACCAGCAAATGCCATAATTTCATTCTTCTTTATGGCTGAGTAATATTACATTGTGTGTACCACATTTTCTTTATCCATTTCTCTACTGAATTGCATTTAGTTTGGTTCCATAGCATAGCTATTGTTACTTGAACTGCTATGAATATTGATGTGGCAGCATCACTGTAGTATGCTGATTTTAAGTCTTGTGGGTATATGCTGAGAAGTGGGATAAATGGGTCAAATGGTGGTTCCATTCTGAGGAATATCCATACTGATTTCCATAGTGGTTGCACCAATTTTTCAATCTCACCAGCAATGTATTAGTGTACCTTTTCCCCATGTCCTCACCAATATTTATTTTTATTATATTCTTGATACTGGAGTGAGACAAATCTCAGTGTAGTTTAATTTGCATTTCTCTAATTGCTAGTGATGTTGAACATTTTTTTATATATTTGTTGACCATTTATATTTCTTCTTCTATGATGTGTATCTTCAGTTCCTTAGCCCATTTTTTTAAATGGGTTGTCTGTTTTTTTGGTGTTAAGGGTTTTTGGTTTTGTTTTTGTTTTTTGTTCTGGGAATTGAACTCAGGGGCACTTAACCACCAAACCACATCCGTAGCAACTTTTTATGTTTTACTTAGAGATAGGGTCTCACTGAGTTGCTCAGAGCCTTGTTAAATTACTGAGGTTGGCTTTGAACTTGAGATCCTTCTGTATCTGCCTCCCAAGTTGTTTGATTTCAGGAGTGCACCACCATGCCTGGCATGGTGTTTAAATTTTTTGAGTTCTTTATATATCCTGGAGGTTAATGCTCTGACGTGCAGTTGGCAAAGTATTTCTCCCATTTTGTAGGCCTTTCGTGTTCTTACTTCTTTTGCTATGAAGAGTGTTAGAGTATGATACCATCCATTTACTGATTCCTGATTTTATTTTTTTCACTTTAGGAATCTTTTTGAGGAATTCAGTTTCTAAGCCAACATGATGAAGATTTGGACCTACTTTTTTTTTTATATTAGGCATGTGTCTCTGATCTAATGCTTAGGTTCTTGAACCACTTTGAGTTGAGTTTTGTGAAGGGTGAGAGACAGAGGTCTAATTTCATTTTTATAGATGGAATTCCTATTACCAGCACCATTTGTTTAATAGCATATCTTTTCTCTAATGTATGTTTATGGTATCTTTATCTAGAATGAGATAACTATATTTATGTGTGTTTGTCTCTGTGTCTTTTATTCTGTACCATTGCTCTTCATTTCTATTTTGTTGCCCATATAATATTGTTTTTGTTACTGTTGCTCTGAAGTATAATTTTAGGTCTTGTATTGTGATGTCTTGTGCTTCACTTTTCTTGCTGAAGATTACCTTGGCTATCATGGTAATGGGCCTCTTCTATTAACAAATGAAGTTCATGACTGCTTTTTCCATTTCTATGAAGAACATCATTGGAATCTTAATAGAAATTGCATTAAATCTATATAGCGCTTTTTGTAGTATGGCCATTTTGACAACAATAATTCTGTCTATCCAAGAACATGGGAAATATTTCCATCTTCTAAAGTCTTCTTTAATTTCTTTCTTTAGTGTTCTGTTATATTCATTGTAGAGGTCTTTTTCGTTTATGTTAGACTAATTCAAAAATATTTTATTTTCTTTTAGGTTATTGTGGATAGAAGAGTTGTCCTGTTTTCTTTTTCAATTGATTCATCACTGATATATAGGAATACAATCAATTTATATGTGTTTATTTTATATCCTTCTACCTTGCTGAATTCATTCATGAGTTCTAGAAGTTTTCTGTTGGAACTTTTGGGGTCTTCTAATTATAGAATCATGTCAACAGCAAATAGGGATAGTGTGAGCAATTATTTTTTTATTTAATTTCTTTCTTCTAATTGCTCTGGCTAGAGGGTTATGTTGAATAGAAGTGGTAAAAGAGGGTATCCCTGTCTTGTAGTTTTTGAAGGAATTCTTTCATTTTGTCTCCATTTAGAAGGATATTTGCCTTGGCTTTAGCATATATTGCTTTTATGACATTGAGTAACATTTCTATTTTATTAGAATATAAATTTTCAAAATAGGTTCTGATTATCATCTGTATTTCAGTAAAGTATCTACTGTGATATTTCCTTTTTCATTATAAATTTTAGCAATTTGTGTTTTCTCTCTCTTTTTATTTGTTAACTTGGCTAAGTCTGTATCAGTTTTATTGCTTTTTTTAAAAGAACCAACTTTTCATTTTGTTGATTTTGGAGATTGTTTCCTTTGTTTCAATTTCATTGATTTCAGCTCTGATTTTAATTATTTACTGTCTTCTGCTTTTAGTGTTGATGTTTTCTTCTTTAGAGAATGTAACATTAGGTTATTTATTTGTAGAATTCTCTTCTTTTAGTGAATGAGTTCAATGCAATGAATTATCCTCAGCACTGCCTTCATAGGGTCCCTGAGATTTTGATATGCTGCATCACTATTCTTATTTACCTCTAGGTATTTTTCAATTTCATCCCTGATTTCCTCTGCCATCATTTTTAATTTAATAGTGTATTATTTAGTCTCCAGGTATTAGAATAGCTTCTATGTTTTATTTTATCATTGATTTCTAATTTTATTACATTAAGATGTGATGGGATACAATGTATAAACTCTATTTTTTGTTGTTGTTGTTTTGAAAAGAGTTGGTTTGTCTCCTAAGATATGATTTATTTTAGAGGAGGATTTGTGTGCTTTGAGAAGAAAGTGTATTAAATCATTGACAAATGAAATATTCCATATGTGTGTCAAGTCTAAATTTTTAATTATATTTTTAGTTCTATAGCTTCTTTATTTACATTTTGTTTGGTGGTTCTATCCAATGGTGAAAGAGGTGTGTTAAAGTCACCCAGTATTATTGTGCTGTGGTCTATTTGACTTTTGAAATTGAGAAAGGTTTGCTTGATACACATAGCTGCTCCATAGTTTGGGGCATAAATATTTATGATTATTATGTCTTGTTGATGCAAATTTCCTATATTATATGAAATATAACACGAAATGTCCTTCTT